AACCCAGTGGGGCAGTCATGAGATCTTAAAGCTCTGAAATGATCTCCTTTGACTCCATGTCTCACATTCCTGTCGCTGATCCAAGGAGGGGGGGTTCCCATGGTCTTGGGCAACTCTGTCCCTATGGCAGAGGTTACAACCTTCTGTCTAGCTGCTTTCATGGACTGGCATTGAGTGCCTGTGGTTTTTCTGGGTGCACAGTACACGCTATCAGTGGATCTACCATTCTGGGGACTGAAGGACGGTGGCCTCTTCTCACAGCTCCACTAGGCAGTGCCCCAATGGGGTTCTGTGTGGAGGCACCAACCTCACATTTCTCCTTAGCACTGCCCTAGCAGAGGTTCTCCATGAAGGGTCCATCCCTGCAGCAGACTTCTGCCTGGATATCCAGGTATTTCCATAAATCCTCTGAAATCTAGGCAGAGGTTCCCAAACCTTAGTTCTTGACTTCTGTGTACCCACAGGCCCAACACCACATGGAAGCCACCAAGGCTTGGGGCTTGCACTCTCTGAAGCAATGACCCAAAACTGTACATTGGCCCCTTTTAGCCACCACTGGAGCTGGAGTAGCTGGGACACAGGGCACCAAGTCCCAAGGCTGCACAGAGTAGGGCGGCCTTGAGTCCAGCCCACTAAACCATTTTTAACTACTAGGTCTGTGGGCCTGTGATGGGGCACTCTGCCACCAAGATCTCTGACATGTCCTGGAGACATTTTTCCCACTGTCACAGAGTGGCGATTACATTTGGCTTCCTGTTACTTAAACAAATTTCTGCAGCTGGCTTGAATTTCTCTCCAGAAAATTGTTTTTTTCCTTTCTATCATATTATCAGGCTACAAATCTTCCAAACTTTTATGCTCTGCTTCCCTTTTAAATATAAGTTCTAATTTCAAATCATTTCTCTCAAGTTCAAAGTTCCACAGATCTCTAGGGCAGAGGAAAAAGGCCACCACCAGTCTCTTTGCTAAAGCATAGCAAGAGTGACCTTTGCTCCAGTTCCCAATGAGTTCCTCATCTACACCTGAGACCACCTCAGCCTGGACTTCACTGTCCACATCATTATCAACATTTTGGTCAAAATCATTCAACAAGTCTCCAGGAAGTTCCAAACTCCTACATCTTCCTATCCTCTTCTGAGCCCTCCAAAGTGTTCTAACCTCTGCCTGTTACCCAGTTCCAAAGTCACTTCCACATTTTCAGGTTGTTTTTATAACAGTACCCCATTCTACTGGTATTAGTCAGTTTTCACACTGCTATAAAGAACCTCCCTGAGACTGGGTAATTTACAGAGGAAAGAGGTTTAATTGACTCAGTTTTGCATGGCTGGGGAGGCTTCAGGAGACTTGTAATCATGGTGGAAAAGGAAATAGGCACCATCTTTACAGGTGGCAGGAGGGAGGCAGGGGGAGGGGTAACAGAGAGAGAGAGAGAGAGAGTACATGTGAAGGAGGAACTGTCACAAACACTTATAAAACCATCAGATTTCATGAGAACTCACTATCACAAGAATAGCATGAGGGAAAAACGGTCCTCATGATTCAATCACATCCCACCAAGTCCCTCCTTAGACAAATGGGGACTATGGAGATTACAATTCGAGATGAGATTTGGGTGGGGACACAGAGCAAAATCATATCAGTGAAGAATCTAAAGTAGTCAAACTCACAGAAGCAGAGAGTAGAGCGGTGGCTACCAGAGGCTGTGGGGAGGAAAAGTGGGAAGCTGTTCTGTGGGTACAGAGTTTCACTCAAGCAAGACAAAAAAGTTCTAGAGGACGAAAAGATGGCAACAATAGACACTGGGGAGTGCTAGAGGGGGGAGGGGAACAAGGGTTGAAAAACTACCTATTGGGTACTATGCTCACCACCTGGATGATGGGATGAATCGTAACCCGAACCTCAGCATCCTACACTATACCCATGTAACAAAACTGCACATGTTCCCCCCGAATCTGAAATAAAGTTGAAATTATATGTTCACAGTCAGTTACAGATCAAACTCCTTGTTTTGCTCTTTCCCCCCTTCTCACTACTGCACTTGACTAGTCTTAAAAAATAAAAAGTAAAAAGAATTATAGAAAATGTTTCTGGAGATCTGCTGTACAACATTGTACTTATAGTTAACTGTACCTAAAAATGTGTTAAGGGGTAGATTTCATGGCATACTTGTTTCACCACCATTTAAAAAAGCATTTCAGAGGCCGGGCGCGGTGGCTCACACCTGTAATCCCAACACTTTGGGATGTCGAGGCGGGTGGATCACGAGGTCAAGAGATTGAGACCATCCTGGTCAACATAGTGAAACCCCGTCTCTACTAAAAATACAAAAACTTAGCTGGGCGTGGTGGCGCGTGCCTGTAATCCCAGCTACTCGGGAGGCTGAGGCAGGAGAATTGCCTGAACCCAGGAGGTGGAGGTTGCGGTGAGCCGAGATCACGCCATTGCACTCCAGCCTGGGTAACAAGCAAAACTCCGTCTCAAAAAAAAAAAGCATTTCAGAATGCAGGTGAGAGTGACATTATTCAAGGAAAAACCTTGAGAAAAACCCTCTGTTATTCCAAAAACACAAATGTTATCATAGGATTACATTGTTTTGCATAGTTTTGTTGCTTTCACTTACTGTATCTTGGAGGTCATTCTCTACCCACCATTTTGGTGGCTTCCCATGGGAAATGCCACACGAGAGGCCAAGCATGGAGCTCTGGGGCCAGACAGCTATGACCCAGGTGCATGATTCTCGATTACTTCATTCTCTGTGCTTCATTTTCTTTACCTATAAAATGGCACTGATACAAATACTACCTATCCCAGAGGGTTGTTGGGGGGATTAAGTGAGTTAAATACGGCCAGATGTGGTGGCTTATGCCTGTAATCCCAGCACTCTGGGAGGCCCAGGCAGGTGGATCACTTGAGGTCAGGAGTTCTGACCAGCCTGGCCAACATGGTAAAAACCTGTCTCTACCAAAAAAAATACAGAATTAGCCAGGCATGGTGGCACATGCCTATAATCCCAGCTACTTGGGAGACTGAGGCAGAATTGCTCAAACCTAGGAGGCAGAGGTTGCAGTGAACTGAGATCGTGCCATTGCACCCCAGCCTGGGCAACAAGAGCGAAACTCCATCTCAAAAAGAGAAAAAATAATAAAATAAAATATAATAATGTATCTCTGAATTAGGTTTTCCAAGATTTTGTTCAGGATTTTTATGTGGAGATTGATGAGAGAGACTGACATTTAATTTTCCTCTCTTCATGTCCTTGCAAGAATTAGGTATTGAAGGCATACTGGCTTCTTAAAATGAGCTGGGAAGGTTTACCCTTTTTTCTAATCTTTTTCTGGTCTCTGTATGAATTTATGTAATGTTGGTGTTATTTCTTCCTTAAATGTTTGGGAGATTGCATGATGAAACCGTCTGGGCTTCCTGGCATTTCCTTTGAGAAGATTATTTAAATTATAGACTATCAGGATTTCCTGCTACTTTTTCTTATGTCAGTTTAGTAAGTGATGTTCTTCAAAGATTTTGACCATTTCATCAACATTTTCTAATTTATAGAGTGGTACTATACACAGAGCAGTAATCTGTAATCTCCTTATCATAGTTTTCATAATTATGGGATCTTTAGTGATACACCCCTTTTAAAATTCCTGATATAACTAATTTATGCCTCTTCTTTATAGCAGCCTTGTCAGAGGTTTGTCAATTTTAATAATCTTAGAAGAACAAACTTCATGCAAAAATTTTAAAAATAAGGTTTTCATTAATTTTAAAAATAATGTTTTGATTACAAGCACACTAGTGAAAAAGAAATCTGTTTTTGTTGGACTGAAAGCATCTTCTTTTTGTGCTCACCTCTGAAGGGTATTCTCACCAAGTAGAGCATTCTAGGAAAGCAGGTGTTCCTTCAGCATTTTGCAGCTGCCATTGCACTGTCTTCTGGCTTCCATCATTTTTGTTAAGAAGACAGATGACAGTTTTGCTCATGCTCCTTTGACATTAAGGTTTCTTTCTTCCCTCTGAGTGCTTTTAGGATGCTTTCTCTTTCATTACTAGCAGTTTTAGCCTAATATGTCTAGGTGGTTTTCTTTGCACTTATGTTGCTTTTGGTTCATATTGTTTCTGAATCTGGGGCTTGACATCTGTTATCAGTTTTCAAAATTCTTGGCCATTTTCTCTTCCAATATTGCTCCAATCTTATCTGTCTTGCTTTCCCTTTGGGGGATTCCAATTACACACTGGATCTTTTCACTTCATCCCATATATCTCTTATGTCTTTTACTCTATTTTCTATTCTTTTTCTCTGCGCTTCAGTTTAGATAGTTCTATTGACTTGTCTTCAGTTCCTCAAGTCTCTCTGAAAATGTTTAATCTACAGGTAAACTTTGTTGAGTCTTAAATTTAGGCATTTTATTTTTAAGTTATAAAATTTCGAATGGATTCTTTTTTTTACAGATTGTGGTTTTCTGCTGAAGTTATCCACCTTGTTACTTATCTTCTTTAATGGGTGAATCTCACTTGTTTTAAAGTCTAGGTCTAATAATATCAATATCTGGATCTCCTGTGTCTGTTTCTGTTGCCTAATTTTTTCTCTTTTTTTCCATCATTTGATTTCATCTATTTGTATGCCTAGTATTTTTTAAATTGACTATGACACTGTATTTTTTTAATGTGTAGAATTTGAGGTTCTGGATGATGTAATCTTCCTTCAGAGTATTTATATCTGATTCCACAAGGCAGTTAAGATAGGGAAAGATCACTTAAATCCAAACTCATGTTTCTTTGCATTCTATAGACTGAACAAATAAAAAACTTCTTTGAGATGTTAAGAAAGAATATTTTAATAATAGCTAGAAACACATTTTTAAGGCAGGAAACAAAATATTTAAAACCATAAAGGGAAGCACTGAACACAAAATGCAATGCTTTTCTTCAGTAAAATATAACTTCACAGTTCAAAGATAAAGAAAATAAAAGCATTATATATAAAAAAGTTAAACAGCACAATATATCAAGATTTTTTACAAACAGGAAAAACACTAATACCTCAAAAGAAATACAGGCAAAGTATGTAAGTTTTCATTTACACATACAGAAGGCAGATAAATCGTCTACAGTTTAGAGACTATATGTTATATGTTATGTGAAGAAGTGCTCAGCCTTACTGATGCACAAAGTAGATCAAGATATTATTGTTCATTTACTTAAGCTTTATAATGTCTAGAGTGTGAAAATTCTGGGAAAACTACCTTGCATACTGTGAGTAGGAGGGTCAATTGAAGGTCAATGCATCCATCAAGTTTTTCAATGTGCCAGGACAGGTCAAATACACTTCCTTTTCTAAGACTCCATTTTCCTTTTCTAGGAATCGATCTCAGGATGGGCTCACTGGACTCTATGCTCGTCTCTTTGTACAGTGACTTACTGACTTATAAGAGACTGGAAAGCTAAAGGGTGTATTTGCCAAAGTCCTTAAAGCTTGGCTCAACAAGTAGCCTAGTTTCTGTCAAACAGGCCCCGCTCAGAGGACCGGAAAGGTATAAGGGAGTGTAAGGCTGTCTTTCTGCTGCTTCCCCTGTCAAGCATGGCTGGGAAGGCATTTGCTGTTCTGTGGCAGGAAAGTGGAGGTTCTGGGGTCCGTTCCATCATCTTCTGGGTAGTATGAGACAGGCATAAAGCATAGTTTGCGGGCATGAACTGTACTATTATTTATAAATAAATCCAATTTATAAACCACTCAGTCCTCCCAACAATTCTGCAAGCCATTGAACACCTTTCTGCCTAAGCTAATGAGAGTAGGCTGTGAAGCTGATCCTAGATCTTGGCAGTAGTGGTGGTCCTGGCATGTACCTACAGAAATATTTCCTGATTCTGGCAGGAACAGAAGCTCCTCTAATGGGCCAGCATTGAGATATTCTGGAAACCCTTCCTGGAAGCTCAGTGGTGCCTACTGCCTTCTCCAGCCCTTCCAGTACCAAATACCCTGTATGAAATCCCTTTCTGCTTAACTACAGTGATCTCTCATATTTGCAAATGAATCTTGATACATCCTCATGCAGAAATAGTTCCTTTAGTGATCAAAAAACGGTACAAGGATCTTCACCGTATTGTTTACCCCAAACAACCTAAAATCTAACAGTGAAGTATGGCTACATAAATCAAAGCATTTAAGTAACCTTTACAAAAAGGAATCATGTCTCTAATGTTGAAATGTAAAGATGTCTCAGACATATTTCTTCATTCATTCAACAAATATTTATTGAGCTTTTACTATGATGTGACCATTTTTCACCCTCTATTATAGACAAAAGATGTGTTAGCAAGCAAAATAAACAAAAATCTTGGTCCTCATGGAGCTCACATTCCAAGGATAAAGTGAAATGAATAAGTGTTGGACTAATGTGTAGTACAATCCCATTTATAAAACATACACCCTCTCTCTACACACACACACACACACACACACACACACACACACACACACACAGAAAAACACCTAGAGGGATACAGCGCAAGCCATAAGCAGTGGTTATTTCTGGGCTCATCTACCTGACTACAGAGAAAGCAGCTTCTGGTACAGTCCTCGCTGATATCCCACTTAGAGGGTTTCTAAGGGCCTTATGGACAGAATTTCTGTCCAGTTCCATCTGCCAAGAAAAGAGATGGGAACATTTACATGCTGTTCTAGTTCAAAATAGCAAATAGTACTTCTTGATTTGCTATCTTTTTAGTGTCTTGAGAAGTATCCCATGATGTTTAGTGTAATATTGACTCTATTATCCTTTTCTCCTCTGCACTAGATCTGAATTGGAGAAAAGAGAGGGGAAGAGGAGTTAGCTGAGTAGAGGCCGTCCTAGATGTAGGATAACTGAATAAAATGAAAATGTTTAAATAATGAGGTGCCTAAGGGAGGAAGGAACAGGAAAGTTTTTGCACAAACTGTTACTGTTAATTCATTCCCCATGTTCACAAAATAACTCACTGGGCTTTCATGTCTTTAAATATGTGTCGTTTAATCTTCATTTAACTTAATTGCAAACTATTTTAGCAGACATAATAATCATGTACACTCTAGGATTAATTTTTACTACAGTCTTCCAATACAATGGCGTGCTTGTTGCAGTCCAGGGAAGAAAGATACTGTTACTGTGGAGACATGCATATTCTGTTTCTTCTATTTGCTATGTTTATGTGTACAGCATATGTATGAGGTATAGCTATGCATCTTTCTCATATATGAAGATAGATAAGCATGACTAAAGGGGAATTATGAGTTTGTCAGAAAATTCCAGGAAAAGCTGGGAGCACACCAAGATCAGGAGTGACAGATCAGCACAGGTGCCCATGTATAAGACCAGGTAGAAAAATGTCTATTAGGTTGCAAGATGGGGATGGCCAGGGGTGCCTACAAAAGGGTCAGGTGCACAGTCGTGATGCCTTGTTTCCTAGGAGATGAAGCCTCTGGCTGATTCTCATGAGATGAGAAAATGGCAAATCATAGTAACCTGAATTTAATGGCTATGAGAGACAGAAAAGAAATGTGTCCAGGCAGGAACTGGAGGAGAGGAAGCAGTAGAGAGGAAGAGGCTGCATTTGTGTTATTCATGAGTCAGGCTGTCCATCAGTGCCTCCCCAGAGCCTCAGCCAGGCTCCAGCAGGCAGTGGCTGCAGGTGGTAGGAGCTTGAAAGTACCCTTGTGGTTGTAATAACATGGGGCCAGCATACAGTTGAGAAATGTTTGGTATGTCAGGCCAAAGTTTGAATTTGGAGCTTTGCTTTTAGAAAAAAAATGATTCAATACCTGGGCAAATGACTTGATGAGTGACTTATAGTGGTCTCAGGCTCTGAGGGCATTGATGTCCTGTTAACACACACACCAGGCCACTGGCCATCAGCATCGACCTCGGCGAACTCTGGCTCTTCATCCACAAGTCTGCACGGCAAAGGGCAAATCAGATTGAAAAGGTAGAGGACGTCCCCACAGGAGAAAAAGGCACAGAGGAAAACAGAGCTGATGTGGAGAAAATAAACAAAGCTGGAAGGGAAATTCTAAATTTAACATCCTATTTTCTCTACCAGCTTTGCATATTTAGGAAATAATGTAGGCATTGCTTTCCATTTCTAAAAAAGCTGTTTCTTCAGTAATGGTCAGAAATAATATTTTTATATGTAGAATGACTTGACATTAGCTCTAATTAAGAAGTATGTATGCTGCAAATTATGAAAAATGCAAATGTTACTGATCATAAACATTTTACTTACTGTCAATGGTGAATACAGTGGATTGGCTTGTTGGCAAATGCTCCAAACCCCATGCAGCACACAGAGGCTGGAAAGATGAAATCTCAGAGCTCTCCCACAGCCGGTATTTTGGGTGTGATTTAAGTTGCACCAATCAGAAAACTTGAGCAAGACCTGCAGTGAGTGGCACCTGAGTCAGGGGGAGAGAGGCAGAGCACAGGGTGTTCACTATATGGACAGAGACTGTAGCAGGGACAAGATGCTTCTGGTACTGGTAACTGTGGTGGTAACTTTCCAACTGGGTGGGCAGCTTTCTGAAGTTAAGGCTCCTGTCCTGGTGGAGGGAGCAGGTTTTCTGGTGGTCCAATTCTGTGTGAAGACCCTGCGAGCTGCTCGTGGAAGCTCAGCCCTCCCAACAATTCTGCAAGCCATTTAACACTTTTCTGCCTAAGCCAACGAGAGTGCAATCCAGACACTGTCTTCTAAGCCTAATAAAATCATAACAGCACTCTAAAATAACACTGCAATTTTGCATGAGGTGAAGCTCCTGCTCTCACCCAAATTTCCTGGTGTGTTTTTTGGGAGGTTTGTAAGTTTAAGCACAGACTCATAGAAAGTCGTTTACGACAGATCATTGACTAGCCTCTCACGTCTGGCTTCCTCATCTAGGGAACTTTGGCATGTCATGTGATCTCCCTGTGAACAAGCCAAGACAGAGACTCCCAACCTTCTGACTGCTAAATCACTGCTTTCTTTATTATATCATGTTGCCATAGCTGTTTTGTAAGATGACTAATTTATGAGAATAGTTCAAACAACGTTTCTGGAAGTAGTTTTTAATAAGGTCAGTGGAAGTTTAAAATATTTGTTTACTGATCGTTTTGAAGTTAATCTAGCTATTCATAGGCTTCTGTGGTTGAATTTACATGTGTTTAATTCTCTAAGCTTTCTTCTGTTGCTCTGTAAAAATGAATAGAATACATTTCACAGAAATAGAACGTAAAAAACAGTTACCCCACACTGCCTTACACTCTTGACTTCACAGCCCATTCTTCTGAGTGAAATAAAATCAGTAAACTGAAAACCTTATTGGAAGAAACCATCAGGAACTTCAGAAATTGTAAAGGGTTGGGTTTTTAAATAATTTTTTAAAGGTTTACTGAAAGGAACTGGTTTTCACATTTCCCCCTTTATGTTACATAGAATAAAATCAGGTGGCAAATATGCAGAAAGAGAATGAAATCAGGTTAGGTCAGAGGAGAAAAAATCTCCTCTGTCTGCACCAGCCATTCTCAGGAAGGTCATCAACGAACAAAATGAGCCACCTTCTTACCAGTCCATTTAAATGGCTTGGTGCCCAAGGCCTCCAAGGACAATCATTTTAAGTAATTCATTTTCATTTCCTTCTTTGATAATTTAATAAGAACAAAATAGAGATGCCTACATTCTGCTGAGGTATTCCTTTCAGTTATCTAAATTTCTCTGCAATTCAAAATATTGAATGATAAATAGACTCATTTAGACTTTACAAGAAAAAAGTAAGGCCACAAGAATCAATTTCCAGTACCCCTATCTTCGGGCATCCTAAGCTGTTATTTCAAACACTCAGTCTGCTTGGCTAGAACAATGCGAGTCAGTATGAGAAAACCCTGTGTCATTTAAGCAGATTAGAGAAATACCCACTAAATACTCACCATGTTATATAACAGCAATTCTGTGACAGAGAGACAGAGACAGAGCGAGAGAGAGAGAGAGAGTGTGTGTGTGTGTGTGTGTGTGTGTGTGTGTGTGTGTAGAAAGGCTTCACAAAACAAAGCCTGAATTGAATAACCAAAGAAAATGGTTATTAAGAATGCTACTGGTGGTTGGAAATGGTGGCTCACATCTGTAATCCCAGCACTTTGAGAGGCCGGGGTGGGCAGGCAAATCACTTGAGGTTAGGAGTTCAAGACCAGCCTGCCCTAATGAAACCCTGTCTCTACTAAAAATACAAAACTTAGATGGGCATGGTGGTACACATCTGTTATCCCAGCTACCTCGAGGCTGAGGCAGGAGAATCACCTGAACCCAGAAGGTGGAGGCTGCAGTGAGTGGAGATCGTTCCCACTCCAGCGTGGATAACAGAACAAGACACAGTCAAAAAAAAAAAAAAAGAAGAAGAAGAAGCTGGGTGCAGTGGCTCACACCTGTAATTCCAGCACTTTGGGAGGCTGAGGCAGGTGGATCACCTGAGGTCGGCAGTTCAAGACCAGCCTGACCAACATGGAGAAATCCCATCTCTTAAAAAAAAAAAAAAAGAAGAAGAATGCTATCAGTGTCCAGGCCTGGTGGCTCACACCTCACACCTGTAATCCCAGTACTTTAGAAGGACAAGGTAGGTCACCCAGGCTGGAGTGTAGTAGCACCATCTCGGCTCACTGCAGCCTCAATCTCCCAGGCTCAAGTGATTTTTTTCCACTTCAGCCTCCAGCTGGGACTACAGATGTATACCACTACAGCCGCCTAGTTTTCTTATTTTTTTAGAGATGGGTTTTCACCAAGTTGCCCAGGGTGGTCTCAAACTCCTGGACTGAAGCCATTCGTCTGCCTCGGCTTCCCAAAGTTCTGGGATTACATGTACGAACCACTGAGCTTGACTCTCTCTTTAGTTACATCATTGATAAAACAGCTGCTTTGTGTTTGGGGCCATATTTAACACAACGAAATGAAGCATGTGTTCTACTTGCCCCCAGCATATAAAACTATAATAACAGTTGAAAATTTCACCAAAGCAAATATGCATATTTAATATGGTTTGGCTCTGTATCTCCACCCAAATCTCATGTTGAATTGTAATTCCCAGTAGTGGAGGTGGGGCCCAGGGGAGGTGATTGATTATGGGGGTGGTTTCTAATGGTTTAGCACTGTCCTCCTACGGCTGTCTTGCAATGGAGTTCTCAAGGGATCCGGTCATTTGAAAGTGTGCAGCACCTCCTGCTTCATCCACTCTCTCTCCTGCCAGCCATGTGAATATGCACCTGCAACCCCTTCACCTTCCACCATGACTGGAAGTTTCCTGAGGTCTCCCTAGCCATGCTTCCTGTATGACCCGTGGAACTGTGAGTAAATCAAACTCTTTTCTTTCCACAATACACAGTTATAGTTCTCTTTCTCCCCTTCCTTCCTTTCTGTAAATTAAACCTCTTTTCTTTATAAAATACCCACTCAGTTATTGGTTTCTTCCCCCACCTTTCTTTCCTTTTTCTTTCTTCCTCTTTCTCTCTCTCTCTCTTTCTCTCTCTCTCTCCCCCCCTCTCTCTCCCTTTCTCTCTCTCTCATTCTGTCACCCAGGTTGAAGTGCAGTGGCATGATCTCAACTCACTGCAACCTCCACCTTCAGGGTTCCAGTGATTCTCCTGCCTCAGCCTCCCCAGTAGCTGGGATTACAGGTGCGTGCCACCATGCTGGGTTAATTTTTGTATGTTTAGTAAAGATGGGGTTTCATCATATTGGCTAAATTAGTCATGAACTCCTGACATCAAGTGATTCTCCTGCCTTGGCCTCCCAAAATACTGGGATAACAGCCATGAGCCACTGTGCCAAGCCTCAAGGTAGTTCTCTATAGCAAAGTGAGAAAAAACTAATGCAGTATAACTCCACTGTATATGCCAGGCACAGTACCATGTGTCTTAAAAATGTCATCTAATTTAATTATCCACAAATTATCCCTTATTTTAGAGGAAAATTTGATGATTGTCCCATAGTTCATGAATGGTGAATCTGGGATGTAAATCCCAGCTCTGATCATGCCTTTCTCAAAGTTCCTGTTGTGCACAAGTATTCTGTGAGAGGTATAGAAGGCTCTAAAAATAATGCTGATGGTATTTCTTAAAATACAAGAATATTTAAGAAAAAAATTCCAACATTTCTTCAGTGTTCCTATTTTGTACAATAATCTGTTCTTATGAAGTGGCAAGCCACACCTGTGAATAACAGTTGGAGGCCAGACTTCCTGATGCTGTGTCACACCTGGGAGGTGACGTGTGCACACCCCATAAGCAGGTAGCGTCTCCACAGAGCACAGCAAGGTGCACAGCCCTCTTCACTGAACGTCAGTCTTCCATCTATGTCTTACCTTGCCATTTAACCACATATACATATACATCTGTGATTATTTCCCTTTAATACTTGTATTTAACCTCTCTAATTTGTTGCTTTCCTTGTTATGTTAGAGAACAGAGTCTTCAAATGCCAGTGATTGTCTATAGCTTTTACTTCCTCAAAACACCACTTTATGCTGTTTATTCTGATCCAGGCACAGGTGAGCTCCTGTACATTAAGTGGTCCACCTGCCTTGGCCTCCCAAAATGCTGGGATTACAGGTGTGAGCCACCATGCCTGGCCCATGATTTTTGTAAGTATTCAAAGGTTAACTCTGTTTGGGAAGCACTGCATGGCTCCACTGCTACCTTCACAACTGGCAGATGGCTATTTGTGAAGAGGGTAGGTCATGACAACCACAGGCTCATGCCCCAGGCTCTTTCCTGAACACCTGAACAAAGCCAGTCACAGGCCTTTCATTTGGTCTCCCAGGAGTCCCCTCTACCAGTCTAGTTTTTGGACCTTATGCCCAGCCACCTGAAATTTTTTTCTTTTATGTCCTGCCTCTGTGCCTTTGCTCATTCTATGCCCTTGCCTGGAGTATAACTTTCTCTAAATACTTCTTATTGTTTTATACAAAATGAATCTAAGAGAAGTTTGTCACTCTATTGTGAGACAGAAATTATGAAGTACTCTGCCTTTCAGGTGTCAAGCAGTATCTTCTGAATTTCACTTTCAAATTTCAATATGAGCATATACAATAATAAAATCAAACAGGATAAGATGGCAATTTGAACATAAGCATCTTAATCTATAAATATGAACAAAAAGAATTAAAGAAACAGTAAAAATCTTATAGTTGGGTATCATCTACAGGCTTGGACTTTGAAGAATTTCTGCTAATAGAGGGTGCAAGGGAAATTAAATTTCTGCTAATAGAGTGTTGGGGGGGAATTAAAATAAAGTATCAAGGGCTTTCCCCAAAATCCCTTCCAAAGAAAATGGAAATATGGGAAACCCTCCACTAACGTCTCCGACCCAAGAGGGCAGGGTTGGAGAGGAGCACAAGAAGCCCAGAGAGATGCAGGGAGTTCTGGCAAAGGGTCAGGAACAAGAGGAATTTACATCTGAGAAGGTTTAAGGTTGGTTTACCCCAGACACAACAGTAGTGATAAGGCAGGAAGAGCCACAGTGTGCATCTAAAATGGACAAGGGGCACACAAATGTAGATCCAGAGAGCTGGCTCTGCATTCCAGACACACCAAGCAAGAAGAAACTGGGCAGAGGTGAATTTCCCAGCTAGGCACTCACCCACCCTTCTCTATTCTACCTGAGCATCTGTACCTTCCAATATGTAATATATATGCACCTTCAAGAGCCTTCCATCGCATTTCATTCTAAGCATTGTCAGGCAAAGGCAGTAGAAGTGAGCAGAATCCAGACACTGATCCGGGGCAAACATCAGGCCCTGCCACAACTGGATCTAATTCAGCAAGAGAAGGTGACAAACAAAATCATGCTTGATGCAAATATTCCATAATACACAGTGAAGGGGAAACTGGACTCACAAGAGGACCAACATTTGTAAATTCATGACCAGAAACAATTTAACACTAAAGTTCAATAAAACAAAAAGACATAAATTAATGATGACAATTTAAAATGAAAGGTGAATTAAAAATAATACAAGCAATCTAATAACTCATGAATATTTTAAAGCAGAACTAACTCAAAGAAAAACAAATGGGGGCATATTTAGGGCAGGTCTCTCTGAATACAGATGAAATGAACCATGTAAAGGTGGGATTTCAATTCAGTGGACAAAGGATGGTTCTGATAATAGTATGACCGGCTATCCACCTGGGAGAGAAAGACCCACAGCTCACATCAGATTAAATAAAGAAAGGGGGATCAAATGTGTGTATGTGTGTGTGTGTGCGCGCGCGCGCATGCACATAAAATAGATGACGAAACTTTTTTTTTTTTTGAGACAGAGTTTCGCTCTTGTTACCCAGGCTGGAGTGCAATGGCACGATCTCGGCTCACAGCAACTTCTGCATCCTGGGTTCAGGCAATTCTCCTGCCTCACCCTCCTGAGTAGCTGGGATTACAGGCACACGCCACCATGCCTAGCTAATGTTTTGTATTTTTACTAGAAACGGGGTTTCACCATGTTGACCAGGATGGTCTCGATCTCTTGACCTCGTGATCCACCTGCCTCGGCCTCCCAAAGTGCTGGGATTACAGGCTTGAGCCACAGTGCCTGGTGATGACGAAACTTAATAGCTTATTTATAACAAATAAGATTGGAGGGGGAAAACCTTAAAACAAACAAACAAAAAGAAACAATAAACGAAAACACAATTAACATTATATAAAAATATAAACTTTTCTATGATACAGATGTTAAAGCCAAAGGCCCATAGTATACTGGGGCTAAAAACACATTTTGGCCAGGCATGGTGATTCGCGATTGTAATTCCAGTGATTTGGGAGACTGAGGTGAGAGGATCACTCGAGCCCAGGAGTTGAAGACCAGCCTGGGCAATAAAATGACACCCCATATGCATAAAAACTAGAAATAATTAGGAAGACATGGTGGTGCTCACCTGTAGTCCCAGCTACTTGGGAGGCTAAGTAGGAGGATCATTTGAGCCTGGGAGGTCAAGGCTGCAGTGAGCCGTGATCGTGCCACTGCATTACAGCCTGGGTGACAGAGCAACACCCTGTCTCAAAACAACAACAAAAAAAACAACCCCCGCCCCCCAAAAAAACAAAAAAGCCCTACATATCCCTAATAAAATACTGACGAGAAACAAACAGCTCAGTGAAAAAATAGGCAAAAGTGCTAAACCAGCAATTCTAGAGGAGAAAGTGCAATTGGTTAGTAAACATAAAAATATGCTCAGAGAAATACAAATTAAAGTCTAATAAGATAACATTTTTCACTTATCCTATTGCCAAAAATAAGATCAATGCTCTCTGCAGTTGCTCAGACTATGTTGAGAAAGGCATGTTCATCGAGAGTGAAATGTCACATCACTCAGGTGAATAACCTGGAGCCATCTATTAAAATTAAAATGTGCGTATTCTCTAGCGCAGCAGTCATAGTTTTAGAAATTCATCCTATAAAAATAAAACTACAACTATATAGGACTACATGAATAAGGACTAGTATTACCGCATTATTGATAATGAGGAAAACTATAACTTTGCTGTGCATTAGTAAGAAAATATTTTCATATTCCAGGGCATGTCCCTCCTGTGGAAGGTCATGTAGCTCTAAACATGAGCTAGATTTGGCCACAAATGGTAGCTGATACCTGTACTCCCAGCACTTTGGTAGGCCGAGGCGGGCGGATCACCTGAGATCAGGAGTTTGAGACCAGCCTGACCAACATGGAGAAACCTTGTTCTCTACTAAAAATACACAATTAGCCAGGTGTGGTGGCGCATGCCTGTAATCCCAGTTACTAGGGAGGCTGAGGCAGGATAATCTCTTGAGGCTGGGAGGCGGAGGTTGCAGTGAGCTGAGATCACGCCATTGCACTCCAGCCTGGGAAACAAGAGCAAAACTCCATCTCAAAAAGAAAAAAAGAGTTATATTTGTATGTATTGATCTGCCTATGATACATGAAATAAAAAGTGGGCTGGGCGTGGTGGCTCATGCCTGTAATCCCAACTTTGGGAGGCCGAGGTGGGTGGATCACTAGGTCAGGAGTTCAAAAGCAGCCTGGCCAAGATGGTAAAACTCCATCTCTACTAAAAATACAAAAAAATTAGCTGGGCGTGGTGGCGGGCACCTGTAACCTCAGCTACTTGGGAGGCTGAGACAGAGAACCGCTTGAACACGGGAGGCGGAGGCTTCAGTGAGCCAAGATTGTGCCACTGCACTCTAGCCTGGGCTAGACTTCGTCTCAAAAAAAAAAAAAAAGACATAAAAAGTGAAGGTGCAAAGGTGCAGCGTGCTGTGTAGAATATAGTCCTATTTTTATTTAAAAATATATAAATGAACCCATACATTTTATGAGTAACAAAAAATATACTCACTGTTACCACTGATTACCTTTCAGGGTGAGTAGTGAAGGAGAAGACAGATTAATATTTTTCTTCACACATCTCCATTTTGCTACCAGTATACCTAACATTACTTTGTAATTAAGAAAAAGTCCAATATATTAATTCACCAATCTATTCATTTTTAAATTTCAACAAGATATATCTAGACTACAAAGTCCATACTATATTTTCTGAGACTCTACAGTTTTGTTTAAAAATTAATTTATGCAAAACTAGTGTTTTTGCTCCACGTTCTCTCGTTCTAATAATCAAATCATTCATATCCCATGTCAACCTTCTAGCTACAGCTTATATTTAAAGTCCAGCTTGGGCCGGGCGCAGTGGCTCACGCTTGTAATCCCAGCACTTTGGGAGGCCGAGGCGGGTGGATCACGAGGTCAAGAGATCGAGACCATCCTGGTCAACATGATGAAACCCCGTCTCTACTAAAAATACAAAAAATTAGCTGGGCATGATGGTGCGTGCCTGTAATCCCAGCTACTCAGGAGGCTGAGGCAGGAGAATTGTCTGAACCCAGGAGGCGGAGGTTGCGGCGAGCCGAGATCGCGCCATTGCACTCCACGGGTAACAAGAGCGAAACTCTGTCTCAAAAAAAAAAAAAAAGTCCAGCTTGTTTCTCCCTCAAATTCTAGTTATTTGAGGAGGCTCTGAAGTTCTGAAATGGTATTAATGAAAAAAATGCAGAACAAAATGACATAAAGGCCCTGCAGAAACATAGCTAGTGATTAAAACTCAAGCGGCAGAGGAGCTTTTGTCTAATAACATTATTTAGCAATTTATAAATGCTTACAGATAAAAATACCCAACAGTACATGGAGTGAAGACAGGACAAAATGTGGGGTACAAATGCAGCAGTGCCTTTTAAGTTGACATTGCAGTTTTCTTACTGTTTATATTTAAAAACATTCAGCAAATGAGTTCTAAATCATCCCCAGAACTCTGAATCCGAGGTAAAGAGATTCCAGAATATAAATTTCAGTCTCACTTGCAAGTATTTAAGTTATTTTTACACAGAAGACATCAATATCTCTTCTTTCTCACACCAACCTAATTTTTCTACTGATTCTGTGCTGTCTGGTTTGACATCCCAAAACATCTTCCTGAGTTTAAAGAGCATTCCTAGCCGGGCGTGGTGGCTCATGCCTGTAATCCCAGCACTTTGGGAGGCCGAAGCAGGCAGATCGTGAGGTCAGGGATTGAGACCATCCTGATCAACATGGTAAAACCCCATCTCTACTAAAAATACAAAAAAATTAGCTGGGCATGGTGGTGCACGCCTATAATCCCGGCTATTTGGGGGGCTGAGGCAGGAGAATTGCTTGAACCCAGGAGGCAGAGATTGTAGTCAGCTGAGATCGCACCACTGCACTATAGCCTGGGCAATAGTGCGAGACTCTGGCTCAGCTCAAAAAAAAAAAAAAAAAAAAAAAGAGTATTCCGGTTCCTGAGTTCCTGATTTTCCTTATATTAGACAGTGACTCTCGTCTTATCCTTTGGATAATGTAGCTAATAGTTCCGTGCTGGGAATTGCAGGTTTTTATCTGATGGATGTTGCTGAATTGGATTTGGATCTTCACAAGTACACGTTATCTCTGGAAGCTTAAAACAACATTTTGAATTGTGGATCACTCTGAGTTGAACACTAAGTTTCCAGGGCGAGTTTCATCCACGAGGCTTTTGGTGGAGTTGTCACTCAATCATATTCCATTAGATTTCTATTGCTGTTGTCCCCGTGCTTATTTCCTTCCACGAGAACATCCTTCATGATCAACCAAACATCTGCTTATGTTGAGCCCAGCAAGATTCTGGAAATCAGCCCAAAGCTTAGTGACACCTTGTTTCAGAATAGGTAATGCAAGTCAGACCCGCGTGAAGAGGCTCAATCAAGGCCCCACAAAAGGAAGCCAAACTTTCTGACTTCTTTGGATTAAGGAATCACTCAAACGGCTTCCTATTTTGCCTTGAGTAGTGTGAATTCCAAGATAATTAGGTATCGCAGTCAAAAGGAAGCAGAGAAATGAATGCCAAAAAGTAGAACCCGGGCCTGTGCCGCCCCCAGCTCGGCCTCTGCTCTGCTACTGTGCCCTCTCAACACTCCAGCTGCAAATAACTCTTCTTTGTGAGCCTTGTACTTTGTTTTTTCAGGACAACTTCATTTCATTCTCCAAATAAAAGACTGAAGCTTTTGAGAAAAAGAAAAAAGAGTGAAGGACCATCTTTGATCATGCAGTGAGCTGATTAAAAAATGTGGACAAAAAGCAGAGACTCAATGGCAATGACTCCAAGAAATAGTGAATGTCATGGGGATACAAGTGGGCTCTTTATAAAGAGGCAGTTTCTCTTCTACACATTCCCCCTTTCATCTCGACGTGGCTGTGGCTCCCAGTCATGGCAAGGG